TGTGGGGCATTTAATAAAGTATAAATATGTGGTGACAATGAAACACTATGTTCCCTGCTAGGGTGTTATATTAACTGGCTAATAATAGAGCCAGAAGCTTAATAGAAATGTTAATAGCATGCTGTTCAAATGCTAAACACTTATGTAAATATAAAGTTCTCTGTGTTGACTACTACATGGTGCCAGCTATTAGCCTAGGCTGATAAAATTGTGGGGAGGGGACCAAGAAGCAGTGTTTTAGGGTGCAGTTATCATTCATTCATTCATTCATTCACTCAACAAACATTTGTTGTGTAATTGCTTTGTGCCAAAGAACAGAGAGAATACAGATATAGTTGACCCTCCATAGCCACAAGCCACAATACCTCTTATGCTTGGAATCAACCAAGGATGGAAAAACATATCTGACGTAGTGAAGCCTACCACAACAGTTGCATCTAGGCTGATGACCTACACACTTTCTTCCCATCATTATTTCCTAAACAATACAACAATAAAACAAATTATATCATTCTTAGCATTCACATTGTGTTAGTTGTGATGTTGTAAAGCGTAGGGGGAGAGACTGTAGGTTATATGCAAATACGATGCCATTTTGAGTAGGAATTGAAGCATCCAGGCATTTTGGTACGTTCAGGGCTTACAAGAATCTGTTCTCAGGTACCTAGCTACAGGGATTAAAAATAAAGGAGGATTTTTGCCTTCAAGCACTTTCCATCTAAGAGCGTAAGACCCAAACAAGTGGATAAATAAGTAACTGAAAATGTCACAGGTGCTGTGAAACGCCCTCTGAGCAGAGAAGGTGCGTAGAGGGGGTGGGGGTACCTTACTACATGACCGAGCAGGTGATTCTCATAAAGGAAGGTAGCGCTTAAGACAACTCTTGGGAAATGGGTTAAGATTAAAGGTATTCAGGAGAAAGAAGCCGAGAAGGGCGCACAATGCGAGTTTTCCTCTAACAGTAACGTGAAGTAGAGGGTCTTTTACGTTTGTGAAGCATTCACAGCCGGTCAAGCTGTATAATTACCTGGCTGCCTGCCAAAAATATCTGGGCACGCTTTTCAGTCTGCAGTTGGACTTAGTGAGCCGGCAAGCTTTCATTGTGTAGCCATTATGTACATAGGCTGTGCGAGGCCTATGGGGAAGAAAGACAAGAGGGAAGCAGGCAGCAACTCAAATATTGTGGAAAAGAGAGTGTTTGGTGTGCGCGCCAGTGACAATGTAGTTTCAGAGGACTCACCAGGAGCGCAGACAATGCCGGTATTGTGGCTGTAGCCGCTGTCCTCTGAGACTGTGGGGCTGCCTGTCCTTTGTACCCTTGCTGTGAGTCCCAGAGCGCCTTTGCATAAAGACTCAGGTTTGGGAGCACTGCTGAGCCCCTAGCTAGCAAAGAAGTGAGATGCAGGGGCCACAGGCGGGGACCCTGCAGGACTCCAGAATTTGGCGCTTCCGTGGTGTCTGCACAAAGTCAAACATTCCCCAAGGCACTTTAGGAGGGAAATGAATGTAAAGGAAGGACCCTTGGGAAGCAAAGTGGCTGGGGTGGCTAAACTTCCTTTTGACCTTTGAGTTCAGTGGGACTTGAGGTCAGCTGCCTTTTGAAACCGCAGGCGGCTGAGTCCTCACCCTTAGGGGCCAGTTGCTTCCAGTCCACAGTGTGTAGGCGAGTGCCAGATCTACTTCCTGTGGTGTCCTCTTTCCTCATTCACTGCCAGATCCTTGGAAAATTATCTCTTTCTGGTGAACATAGGATAATAGCTTGCTTCTATTATCATTATCCAAAAAGTAGACATAGGAAAAAGCCTGCTCCTGTATGCCTCCATTGTGTTTGTATGTTAAAATAGCACTGGAGGCCCTCCCTGGTGGCCAGTGGGTTAAAGCACAGCACTAAGAAGCTTAAGCCACTTCTGCATCAGTTCGATCCCCGGCTGCCCCGGAGGTGACCACATGGCGTGGCAGACCTCTCCGGACCCTCCTGCTGCTCCCCTCAGTAGTGTAATTCATCGATCTGCCTGTTCTGCTCCCCACTCTGTCTCTGGTGAGTCCTCTCACCCTCCGCATCTCTGGCCTGTACCCTCAGTTCTGTATGAATAAATAAATAAATCTAAAAAAAAAAAAACTAGCACTGGAAAAATGACTTGGGTGGAAATTCTAATGTGTCCTGGGGCTGCAATCTTGGAAGCATTAGGGACTACCTTCCATGCTGAATGAAGTTTAATAATCTGGGGATTATGGCAATGCTGCACTGGTGAATTTGTGGTGGAAATTTTACAGGGACTACACTTGAGGGGAGAAAGCAAGCAGCAAGTGAACAATGAGGTAAAATATTAACACATAAATTATATAGAATTTAACAATCTGGATGGGGAGCTTAAGGACTGTCGTGGACTTGAGCAGTAATAAATAGCAGTCGTGAGATGCATGAAGAAGCTAGTTTTGAGCAGTATCTCTTAAAACCCACAACAGGAAGACATACTCCTCAAACAAAAGTCAGACAACTCAAACTTAATTCTACAGCAGATGACACAGGCTGGTATACCCCTTTCTCCCTTACAAGGTGGGAATAAGTTCATGGAAAATCCTGTTGCTGTTTTTTAAGCCTGTGAAGGCAAATTGCTGGATAGATAGATACTGTTTAGCAATAATTTTATTTTTAAATTATCTACTTATATGGAAATAATGTTATGGGATCTCTGAAGAATGAGACTCAGTGCTAGCCACTAGGTCTCAAGAGGGACACTAACCTGGGGTGGCTTCCAGGCCCTTTGCCCACATCCCAGTTTGTACATGACTGCGAACACTGACTAAAAGTATTCAGCCCACTGAGATAGCAGAAAAAGAAGCTGCCTGCCTCTTCTGTTAGCTCTCTTTCCCCAGACTGCAGCTGGCTGACTTGGTGACTTCCGCCACTCTTTCCCCTACTCCTCCTTAATCCACCACATTCTAAAGTGGGATAACAGAGCATCAAAGGAAAAGACTACAATATCTCGAGGTGTCTTCCTTTTTTTTTTTTTTTTTAAAGATTTATTTATTTATTCGTACAGAACTGGGGTACAGGCCAGAGATGCGGAGGGTGAGAGGACTCACCAGACACAGAGTGGGGAACAGAACAGGCAGATCGATGAAGTACACTGCTGAGGGGAGCAGCGGGTGGTGGGTCAGGAGAGGTCTGCCACGCCATGTGGTCACCTCCGGGGCAGGCGGGGATCGAACTCATGCAGGAGTGGCTTTAGCTTCTCAATGCAGTTCTTTAACCCACTGTGCCACCAGAGAGGGCCGGTGTCTTCCTTTTTTATAAGGAAACACTATTTCTCATCTAACAAAAGGGGAAAACTAGGAAGGGTAAGGAGAAGGACAAAGTAGCCTGGACAGTGTTCCGCTTCTGGAGACTTCTGGTGTCTACTCTCTAGCACCTTTGCCCTCTGGTCTCCTCACTGTCATTCTGATCTCCTTCACCCAACCTGCTCCCCTGAAGTGTTTCATTTCTCTGAAGACTTTGTAACTCCCCAAAGTCATTTATTTCTCTACTCTAAATATCAAAGATCAACTGTCAAAATATGCACAGTAATCAACACATCAAACATAGATAAAATGAGCAAGCAGAGATCCTAAGCAGTATAATATTCTTATTCAAATGTGAGAATTTGACCCAGTTGTCCTTGGGGTAGAGGAGTTTGTTGTTGAGGATTTTAGAATCCCCTGGGGGAATAAAGAGAACATGTAGAAACAGGAAATAAATGATCCTATAAGAAAGTGCTTTCAGGTCAGTATGCGAGTAAAAGCTAAAACAGTACATAATAAAAATTAGATACTACAGCTATCACCAGAATGTTATGTTTCTTGGGGGGTGGGGGGAATGGTAAGTAACCAATAGTTTTTCTTCATTACTAGGTACCTCCCAGTACCTAGGAAACTGCCAATCACATAATGGGGTTAAATATTTGTTTTCTGATTAGCTGAGTAAATTGCAGATTTAATTTCAATTTTAATAATTTGTGTTTGCAATGCTCATTGATATGTGGTAGTTTGTTGTGATTATTGCATTTTTATTTCCTCCATCTAAATAGTGCTTTTTTTACTTTGTTTTTGGCACCTCCATTTCCCATAGTCCACCAGGACTCAAAAGATTCAAAATATCTTGAATATTTGTGGCAAGAGGGATTTAGATCACCTTTATTTGAACTGCTCATTTCACTTAAGCCACATGGTATTTTTACTCACACCTTCAACCTCCTCACTCCCCTACCCTACCTCCAGGATAGGGTTTAATGGTTGTGGCTCAGTCTGCAAAAACCATGAGCCCAAGCATGCTCTCATCCTTCTTACACACTTCTCACTTCTGTCTCTTCTTCATTCCCTTTGCTGCTGCCTCCTCTTCTAAATGCGGACTTCCCCTATGCCATTCCTACTCCTTCATCTCCTTTCCTTCTCGTCTGTCTTCTTGTGTCCGCTAAGCCTTCCCAGCACTTTAAATACCAACTCCCCCACACCTCCTGTCTTCACCCAAAGCTAACTGGCCCGACTGTGACCCAAACCACAGGAAAGCAGGCTTCCTAGAGGTCACAACTCCTCACTCCAGGGTCGCACAGGGGGTGTCTCTCCCTGTCCTGCCCCTGACCGTTTGCCTTTAAGAACTGCATGGGCTAGAGGAGCCTGGCTGTCTCAATTTCTGATCCAACGCCAAGACAGGAACTAAACAATATTGTTGTTTGTTCAGTCGTCACCCCCTGTCATCTGCTGACCTTGCAAAACTGAAAACAACCTCAGCAACCTAGAAGGAAACAGTCCAGAAGGAAACGACTTCCCAAGTCTCAACCTTTCCTTCCAAAACAGAAAGAAAAAAAGATGTTTCTTCCCTATCTAAGCTTTTTACTTAGTATACCACAACATATGCTTATACTCAGCACAGTAAAAAACTTGCCCAAGACTAAGTCTCCATTCAGCCATAAAATGTGTGCAGTGAGAATTCAGAGCTGATCCTGTCTCTCCTCTGCTTGCAGGTTGCAGCACGTTCACGCTCCTGACGTCAGTCACCGCTGCAGTCAGTGGCCTCCTGGTGGGTTATGAACTAGGGCTCATCTCTGGGGCTCTCCTTCAGATACGGGCCTTACTAGCCCTGACATGCCATGAGCAGGAGATGGTGGTGAGCTCCCTCCTCGTAGGGGCCTTCCTGGCCTCTCTCCTGGGAGGGGTCCTGATCGACAGGTACGGAAGAAGGGCTGCCATCATCTTGTCCTCCTGCCTCCTTGGACTCGGAAGCCTGGTCCTGATACTCAGCTTATCTTATACGGTTCTTATCATGGGGCGCATTGCTATTGGGGTTTCCATTTCACTGTCTTCAATTGCCACTTGTGTCTACATCGCAGAAATTGCACCCCAACACAGAAGAGGACTTCTTGTGTCCTTGAATGAGCTGATGATTGTCATTGGCATTCTTTGTGCCTACATTTCAAATTATGCATTTGCCAATGTTTCCCATGGCTGGAAGTACATGTTTGGCCTTGTTATTCCCTTGGGACTTCTGCAAGCCATTGCCATGTATTTTCTCCCTCCAAGTCCCCGGTTTCTGGTGATGAAAGGACAGGAGGAAACTGCGAGCAGAGTTCTTGGAAGACTGAGGAACATTTCAGATACCACAGAAGAACTCACTGTAATCAAATCCTCTCTGAAAGATGAATATCAGTACAGTTTTGGGGACCTGTTTCGTTCAAAAGACAACATGAGGACCCGAATCATGATTGGCCTGACCTTGGTATTTTTTGTACAAACGACTGGCCAGCCAAATATATTATTCTATGCATCCACTGTGTTGAAGTCTGTTGGCTTCCAGAGCAATGAAGCAGCTAGTCTTGCTTCCACGGGGGTTGGGGTGGTCAAGGTCATCAGTACCATCCCAGCCACCCTTCTTGTTGACCACATTGGGAGCAAAACCTTCCTCTGTGTTGGCTCTTCTGTGATGGCAGCCTCACTGGTTACCATGGGCATTGTGAATCTCAACATTGACATGAACTTCACCAATATCTGCAGAAGCCATAGTCCCCTCAACCAGTCCTCGGATGAGTCTGTGTTTTATGTTTCAGGAAACCTGTCAGTCAGCAATGACACACTCAAAGCGTCCTTTAAGGAGATCACTTCTCCTAACAGAAGCTCACTAATGCCCATGAGAAATGATATGCGTAAAAGAGGAGAGTCAACTTTGGCATATTTTCCAAGTGCTGGGCTGAGCCCAACTGGACAGCAGACAATCACTGATCCCGTGGACATCCCTGCTTTTTTGAAATGGTTATCGTTAGCCAGCTTGCTTGTTTATGTTGCTGCCTTTTCAATTGGTCTAGGACCAAGTAAGTATTTTTATTCTTTTTCCTTCCTTCTTTCTTCTTATGAATGTGATGTATTGCTTTAGAGCTTCTTACTGAGCTAGTATCTTATACTCATGCATGGAAATATTAACAGCACCTGATTTTTCTACTAGTGTGGATATGCATAGCATATATCTGCTTGAGAAAGAGATGGGGCCAATCTTCAGCAAAGGGTTAGTTTCTCATTATCCATCAGATAAGGATATTTTAGCACCAGTTGATTGGGGATATATCAGACCTTAAAAAATATGTATTGCCCAAAGAATATATTCTTTTATGAAAGCAAAGTTTATTATGATAACAATGTCCTCCATATCAATTTTGAATTTCTTCATAGAAATGGAAGGGGGGATAAAAGTGTTTAGATTTTCTTAAAGAAATGTTAATGAATGCTTTCCCATAATAATGAAGAAAAGAATTAATTGCAAGTTGGGAAAGAAGATGCATTCTAACTTTATTTTTTATAACTAAAGTAAATTCCCAGGGTGAGTCAAGAGAATGGGAAACAAGTTACTGTCATTGAAGAGAGCAGTTTGCAAGGGACTAGCTACAAGGGTGTTTTATTTGATCGACTCCAATTAAATGATTTAAGTTCCTCTTTTGAACAAACTCTAGATCTAAGAGTTTGCTAGAATAGTTTGTTCCAGTACTCTAGTCTTTTGGCCTCATACAAAACTTTATAGGGAAGTTGTAAAGGGTTTTCTGTAAATTTTCTGAGAAAATAAAGTCTCTACCATATTCAACTTCCAGTTACATCACCTTCTTTCCTCCCCCACCCCACAACCTTTTCTTCCTCCATCACTCTTTCTTACAGCGTTGGTATTGAAACTTCTATTTACAAGGATCAAGTTTGCTCAAGTAAAGGAAGTATTAAATGTTAAGAACAACAAGACAACATAGGTCATGGTGAAGGGGAGTCAAATGGACAAGTGTAGATTCCTGGTGCTGGGAACAACGATTCTGGAAAGAGAGTTACTGTAGGGCTTATTGCAGTCATGCACTGTTAGCTCACTAACTATTCCTTCAAGTGTTATATATACGGGAAGTATTTTTTTTTAAATGAGGTACTATGGTAAATGCTTATGAGATAGCAATAAGCAAGACAGATAACGTGCTCCGTCTTAAAGGAGATTATATTAAATGCTCTGTTATAATCATTTTGTTTTCTCCTTTCTGGTGGGCAACTGGCAAGTTTTGACTGCTTATCTCAGTTAATTAATAACTGGATTGCACATGACTGGTATGGATTCTCTCCCATCTCTACTTCCTCATCTCCCAGCCTGCTCCTGCTTTTACGTGAAATCAGTCTCTAAACGATGACTGGTTCCAACTTCAGAGCAAAAGAAGGAATCTGGGTTGTGCCACGCATAGGTTCAGGTCTATTTCTAGTCTAACCAGATGTGGCAGCAGTGGGCCACACAGTCTGAAAGTAAATGGGCTGAAATTGGCCCTTCCTCTGACATGCTAGGTGGACAGAGTCCCTATAAGGGACTCTTGCATTGAACACACAATACCATTGGCTTCTGGTTGTTCTGATTCAATTCTCAATTCTAACTTTGCTTTTTGAGATTTGCAAATGATAAATATTAAGGAAAAGTTTCCTGGAAATGGGTCTTTACTATTATTTCAGGATTTAATTATCTTCAGGATTTAATTATAAGACATTTATCTTAAACAGTTTGTACTATTATAATAAGTTACCAAAGATTTTGTGAAGTAGACTCAACATTTATTTCTTACAATGTAGAGGACATAATTCCAAGATCACAGAGACTACAAATTCAATTATTGGTGAGGATATCCTTTTCTATCAGTAGGTAAATCTTTTTGGCACCTGACTTGTAGATGGAAATCATCTTTCTGTATCTTTATATGGGAATAGGGGGAGAGAGACAGACAGACAGACAGACACAGAGGGAGAAACTAGCTAGCTCTTTTGTTCCTCTTCATACAAGGACACTAGCCCCATTGCAGATGCTTCACCTTCATGATTAATTATCTCCCAAAGGCTCCATCTCACCTACCATCACAAGGGGAATTAAGATTTCAACATAAGAACTTTAGGGGAGACACAAACACGCAGTTCTTAGTAATACTGATGTGGTTACTATGATACATAAAGCTAATGACGTACGAGCAAGCAACTAATTTACATTTTTATTTCCACTCTGTAAAATCTATCAGAAGAGCAAGATATAAGTACTATCTAGCACTAGGGAACAACTTAAATTTCTTTGTGCACTTTCGTGTAACAAGAAAATACATTTTGCTTATTTGATAAACTTCCACTCACCATTGTTGAATCACCAGTGATTTTTTTTGGCATCTTTTTCCTTATTTATTCCTCATAGCACAAATAATGACATTACTTTTCTTGTTTGAGCTATCAAGAATCTACTAAGAATGTAAAACAAGTCTGGTAAAAAATAAAGGGATATCCTCTTTGCTTTAGTCCAGTGACCTTTTCAGATTGGTTCAGATTATGACATGACATACCTTCTAATGTGAAGACTTCAATCTTAAATTCTGGAACCAGCCTCTTGAGATTCCTAAATTCATTCTACCTTATTGTCATTAGTTTTCAGGTAACTTTGGAAACTGACAAATCTTCAGCCATTCACACATCACTTGATACTTAACTGCATTAGAGTAAGAGCCCCTTTTTGCAAGATGTTCAGTCTGATTTTGGAGATACATTATTGAAAGATGCTTGTTATTTGCCTTTTAGTGTTCCTAAAGTAGTATTCTATACTGATTTTTTTTAATATAGTTTAAACTTTAAATTCAAGTACTATTTGTTGACCCCTATTGTGTCAAATCCCATGCTATATAGTATTTACATAATTGGGAGTACTTCATTCCACTGTCACAAGTCTGTGAAGAAAGGCCAGTCACCAGATTTTACAAATGACAACACTGAATCTCAAGAGGTTAAGTGACTTGCTCATATACACAAAAACACCTCTTGTCTTCTGAAATTCATTGTTAATACTTAATCTTAATCCAAGATAAAACTAGGCCATCTTGTGTTTGTATCGGTAGCAAAAGTTAATTATTTTTAGTTCAGTCCTTTCCATGAGGATACACTGGAATTAAGAGTGAATGAAAGAATGTGCTCTGGTCTATCATAGGTGGTTATAAAAGGGCCACATGGTTTTGTACCCAAGACAGAGACTCTTTCTCTCTCTCTTTCTCCCTCTCTGTCTTTCTCAAGCCCTATGGGGTAATTAAGCACATATTAATTAAAAATAAGTAATAAATGAAAAGGGAAGGTAATGAGAATACAGAAGTTCTTGATGTACATTTACTTCAAAAACTTGATTAAGATAAATTTTTTAACATGGTGTCTTGGTTAGAATTCAAACTTAGTTATAACAAAGACCAAGATAGCAATGACTTAAATAAGAATTTCTGTCTCTCCCCCTCTTAACAACTGGAGCTGGAGACATCTGGGTACTGTGGAAGCTGGGTGGGGAGGTAGGGTCCCAGGTCAGGTACCAAAATTTTATAGATGGGGTTCCCAGGACTCATTCTAGCCAACACTTTAATATTGGTTCTTAGTCTATCACGGTGGCTATTAAAAATATTAAGATGTAAGATGCCTTTTAAAATTTCATCACCCTTCACTTGATAGTGGGTCCCTTGAGAATAAGTAAACTTCACAAAGCCTAGTCAATTAAAGGGAGGGAGAGAACAGAAAAGCCTAGATAAAAAGACAGTGGGAGAGCAATTGTGTCAGGCAAGCGAGAGGAATGTAAGTGTTATGGGAATAAGACATTTCTTACAGGAAGCATCTCACACACCATTGCAGGGGAAGCCAAAGAAGCAAAGGTCTGGAAGGTGATGATTAGAGCAAAAGGAAATAGTCACCAATCAGAACCCCAAAGGGAAAACGGTGACATCTGCAGGTTATTTCCTCTGCCTCTGGTTGCAGCCTGAAGTCCCTGTTGGCCAGCAGCAGACCAAGGATAACAAGGATTACTGACTCTCCAAGACAAACTGGAATCTTAGGGAAGAAATTAGCCCACCTATCTCACTTCATTCACTCTGAAGACGCAGGCTGGTGTCCTTTCCGAGAATCCTGCCACAGCTGTCTGTCCTCACTAGCTCTTTGAGGAGACTGAGCACATCTGCCCCGTGTTCACAGAATGCAGCGGTGCTCAACACCCTGCACAGATCCCAAAAGCATAAGCTGAGGTGTCACTTCTAAATCTTATGGGAATTTTTTTTCCTAGCCTTTACCCAGAACTATGCAGCCTCCTCTGGAAACACAGCCCTGAAGGCTTTGCTGAACTGACACAGTACAAAACTATCAGTATAACACAGTAAAAATTATCTCTGGACTAAGAGAGAGCAGATGTGACCATAGAAAGAAATATTTCAGAAGGTCAAGGGCCCTGAATTCTCTTTTTAGTTGTTTTTATAGATATTTACATCTTTAAGTAAAAATATGAATTGTTAAAATGTATGCCTAGCTTCCATCCATCTACTTCTATAAAAGGGATGAGGTCATTTCATGAGCATCTTGGCCTTGGTTTCTTTAGCTATAAAACTGAAAACACCCCTTTGCTAATGCACTATCAAAGCGTTCACATTTGTTGTCTCTGGAACAATCATTATCTTCCTTGAGCTAAGGACTCTCACTTATCTCCACTTCTATCATATCACATGATGCTACGTTCTTTTTTCCCAGTGAGTTGGACTTTTCCACTTCGATGCTTCACTGCAGCCAAACACAAGAAATCCAAAACTGATTTTTTTTTCTTTTCCCTCTTAGATGAAGGGGATCTTCCCAGAAATACTCTGTCTTCTGGTCATGAGGACTAATGCTCTCTGATCAATGATCAAATGATCTTGGCTACTCCCTCACACACATGGCCTTTCTTTATCCTTTCTTTCCCATATCTGCTATTTCCATCTATCCCTTACTGTCTCATTCTGAATTCCTGAGAGAGTCTTCCTCTAGTTTGCTTATGTTCCAG